AAGACTTTCATTAAGGCAGTGACTCGTTGATTAACATGGGATCAACACAATGAAAGAGCTGAGCCAAATAGTGGAACTCTCAATTCAAGATTTTGGTAATTTGGGGTCTAGACAAAGTTGGAAAGTTGATGTTTACTGATGTTGCCTTATATTCCCTACTCAGTAAATCTCTCACATTAATCCTGCAAAAGTTACCACTTTCTCTATTGCCTTCCATTAAATTGCTTCTTTCAGCTATCCTGGCAGGGGTTGGTCAAGACCTTCAGGAGAGACATAATAATGAGTGAGTCCTTTTGTCAGAAGGATATGGGACTGGATCCCAGTTCCCAGGGAAGGCCTAGGTCTTCCTAACTTTTTAGTCCCAAAGGAAGTACTTATTTAAACTGAATAGAGAGGGAGAAACTCTAATCTAATCTAAGCTCTTGTTCCTGTCCTGGTGTCCTCTTCAGAGTTCAATTTAGAGTTCTGCATCTCTTGCTTCCTTAAGAGATATAACAGTAAAAAGTAGCAAGAGTACCTGATTAGGAGTACTTGCTAGAAGATTTGCTACTAAGCAGCTGTGCGATAGCTGTCTGTATGTTAACACCTAGCAAGTTGATTAATTTTATGTGCTTTGGTTTCCTCAGCTATAAAATACAGAGATTGGACTAGATGACATCTACACTGCCTCTTATCTGGCAAACTGACATTACGGGGCTGACATTTGGGAGTGGGCTACACCCCAGGGGTCATATCCTTGGAACTCCATCTCTGTTGATAGGTGGTAGACTTCTGGAGGCTTCATATATAGTTGGCATAGGGACTCAAAGCTACCAAGTGGAAGGAGGCCTGAGGAATGGAGTCTTGCTCTAGCTGGGTCTGGCAGGCTGGGAAATCTTTCCTCTTCATACTTTCCTGCAATGCTGGAAGAGCTGTCCACACTAAAGAACTTGCCCAATCACCTTCTTCCCCACCATCCCAATGGGCTGATGCCACGGTCAAGCCCCTGTTTTCCCTAGTTAATGGTCATTTGATAAGCCATTCTTGCAGAGTTGCACTTCTGAAGGAAGTTAAATCTGACTTCTTTTCTCAACTGAAAGAGCTGAAAAAATACTCCCCCCCCCTGCTTTTTTTGCCTCACATTTGAAGGTAATAATCATCACACCACTTGACTGGTTGGCTATGGTTTATTCTTTGCCTTTGAATGGATCTTTTGCCCACTGTCAGCTCTTGGCAAAAAAATCACCAAATAGGAGAGAAATCAGTTGAATCTATATATATTATTTCATTTCTGTACCCCTGATCTTTTGAAAGTCTAGCTATTGTATAAAAAACATGATACCCTTTTAAACATGTTGGGATTAAAGATCAAGGCACAAAGGTGGGCAGCCCATCGATTACTGTGAAAATAGAAGGTAGGACATACTGAAGGTGATGCATTGGGGTTGGAAGTAGTCTTTTCTAACTAACAGTTACTAATCCAAGATAATCCAAGGTTGCTTAGTAGCAGGAAAGTTTGTTGATCATGTCTGAACTCTGGTTTGAGTTAGCTTCTGTGGGGTTAGTGACAAGGGCTTTGCAGCCCAGAGTGTGTCTAACTTTGCTGTCTTCACACTCCCCCGACTCCTACTGTTTTCCCAGACCTAAAGTAATGAGTCTGCCCATGATAGTTCAGCCCATTTATCTCCCATGTTTTCCTTTTGTAGAGTTAGTAACTTTGAAGCTTAGTGTTCTACTTATTGGATCACATGCTTCAAAATAGATATAAATGTGAGAGAATAAATTGAAAAATCTGTTAACTTTCCTGTTGTTTCTTAGGAGTGAAGTATATGTATGTCACCTAAAGAAACTTGATGAGCTTATCATCTATAGCTTTTTTTCCTATTGTGTCATTTGTTTTCTGTTTTAACATAAATTTTATGATGGCCTAGTCTTTCTCTATGGAACAGTGAATATAAAGTGCCATATAAACATGTTTTTAAAAATAATTCGTCCTCACAGATGCTGAGAAAGCCCTAAGAAAAACATTTCTTAAATGTACCCAGAACTTTGGAATTGAATTCAAATTCTGTTCTTTGCTACTTTCACCTGTCTCCCCACCACCCACCCCACCCCAATTCTTATAGGTAAGGAAACTGAGACTCAGAAAGGCAAAAGGAGTGAATAGCCTAAGATCACGGTGAGTTAACTGTCAAAGCAGAGAATAAAACTCAGGCTTGCCCAATTCTGGAGCCCTTGCCACTACACAGGACTGTCTGTCTTGTTTGGCTTTCCATTTTCATAACTACTCCATACCTTTAGTAGCAGGGTTCAAGAATCCTCTGACCCCTGGAGAGCTATACTCAGCCCTCAACTTAATTTCGTCTAGGAATAAAATTAACCATGGCCAATAGGTTGGCCAGAGACTTCCTCCCATTCCCACTAACCTATCTTTCAATGTCAGGCCTCTTCAAAGCAGTGTTTTTTAAACTTTTTTGATCACAACTCATACTTAAAAAAAATTTTTTTTACATCTAATTAAGTGTTTTCACAAAAAACTATTTGCAATACACTTAATTTTTTAAAATATTCTTATGATCTACCAAGTGATTTCAAGGTCGCTATTGACTTAGAGCCAGTTTGAGAAACACTGCTCTAAGGGTTTGAGGATGAAAACAGCTAAAGAACTGTGACACTGGTTAAGAAGTTAATACTGATTCTTACAGTATTGGTTAGCAGAATTTTGGATTTCATGGACCAGTTAATTTAAATTTAAGGAGTTTTATTTTTTCCAGGTAAGGATATTTAGAAAGCTTACTACTGCCTATCAACACCATTTTTAAAAATTGTTTAGAAAACTATTTTTGAAAATATATTTCCTGTTAAATTATGCAGAATGAAAAATGGGAATCTTTTACATACCCCTTTCCTCAACCCAGATCTCCTCAGAGGTAACCCCTACTAACAGATGGCTGTGTATCCTTCCATACCTTTTTCTATGCAGAATTTTATTTTATAGAAATGGGACTGAGCCATGTATTTTGTTCCAACAGTTTTTTTTAATATACTTTACCATAGGTCTTAGAAGATTTTTTTCATGTAATACATATATTTAGCTTTGAGAGAAAATTGATTCTAAGAAAGAAGTTAGAAATCTTGTTATAAAGGAAACTTTTAAATTGAATAAACTCAGCTCTATAAAATACTTGCTATATCATCTTTATTTTTATCATTTCATCATAGACCAGTGACAACTTCATCACAAAACAGCTCATGTGTATCTGGATTCTTTGGATCATTGGCCTAGGGAACTACAGAATACCCAATAGGATCAGAGTAATTTGTTTCACTCCTCTGTCTTACTCTAGTCTACTTTGAGACTTTTCTGTGTTCTCACTTCTATCTCATTTCTCTGCTGACTTTCTCTTTATACTTTTGCTTTTTCTCTACCTCTTTCATATCATGGCTGATTTTTAGGAATATATTGATAACGAATACTGAATATACCATAGTATATTAAATTGATCTTTCTGTCAGGGCCACTAAATAACAATACCTATCTTATTTATTAGCACTATGCTAAATACATCTTTCATTTAATCCTCATAGCCACTCTATGAGATAGGTATTTTTCTTGTTTTATAAAAGTAGAAGGTAAGGCTCAGGCAGAGAAATTTTCTTTCGGTCATATTAATAATGATTAGTAGCTTAATAGTCATTTGAGTACTTTATGTCAAATACTTAAGTTCTTTATATGTATTATCTCATTTAATCCCCACAGCAACCTTATGAAGCAGCTGTTCAGAAGGCTATTATCAAGTATATAACTGATGAAACGAGTGCACAGATAAGATTTAGTAACTTGCTTTGTGGCATCCCCCTCCCTCTACCCTTTCCCACTCTGATAATCCAGAGTTTCACAGCTAGTAAGCAGAACTGTAAAATAAACCCAGTGAATTGGACTTCACAGCCTTTGTTCCTCTGTAGTGCCTCCTGTATAATTTTTCTGCCTTTACTATCTTTACTGTCTCTTCTGTCTTTACTAGGATTGCAGAGATTTTTTAACCCTGATTTGATTCCAAAACAACTTGCTATATGAGAAAATAATGTTTCCCACATACACCGTAGAGTATGATGTTTGTGGAGTCACTAGAATCAACCTGGGAGAAGGGAAACATGAATTTGAGCAAGCAAACTACAACCCAAGCAATGCTTAGGTTTTAGAGAGAGGTTTGCACTCTGAGATCATGCTCACTTTTCTTTAAATCTCATAGTTCCTTTCCCCTCAAAGTCAGGATGATGAAATATATTCAGGTTTGGATGATTAGATTCCCAAAGTCCCAATTTCTCTCTCTTTCTGTCTCCTCCACCACCAGCTTTCCTACCCTCTTGGAAGGTAGAGAAGGTGGTTCAGTTTATTCTTTCATCAAATATTTATTTCTTGAAGACTTATCCCCTACACCATCCTCTGGAGACTCCTGCATGTGTTTAGAAGGCACACCTTTCTCTGCCTCTAATTTGGAGAGTTACAGCTATTAGGTCCATTTAATGTGGAGGGCAATCTAATCCCTAAGTACCAAGAAGACAGCTGCAAGTTGAAACCAGGTCAAGCCTGCTGACTCTTAGACTTGACTTTCAGACATGGAGAAGTGGCAGAAAAAGTGAAAGAGTTGACACAGAATGTGGTCTCTTGATTGTGTTTCTCTATTAACTTTTGACCAGAAATGAGAAAGGATAGATTTTCAGAAATGTCACAAAGACTGGTCATATATGAAAGATACAGAACCAGAAGCTTACCCCTCTACTCTTAGGAGGGGTGACTTATCCTGCACCCTTAGAGTGGATCTCTCATTTTGAAAGCTAGAAAAAGAAGAAGAGAGAAGGACAGCCTCAGTAGATTAAGGCAATACTGGGGATCTCTAGGGTACTTGTGGATGGATCTAAGCGTTCTTCACGCCAACTGAAAGTTGGTCAATTTGTTGTTCTTTCGAAGACCCAGTGAAGAATTAATGGGAGATTAAAAAGTTCTTTCAGACAGTTTTCAGTCTCTCCATTTCAGCTCCCTTGGCAGTTGGGTATTATGTGGTAGGGCAAACTCTACTTCAGATGCAGTTCTTACTTTTATTGTTCTCCACTCTTACCACTGACTGTTGCCCGGGACTCTGTCAGTGGTGTAACCTTTTTAATGGTGGGTGATTATAAGAGTTAAATCTTCATGGGAGCAAAGAAATGGAGATTCTATCCCTTGTCTAAAAAGTGATTGTAGCTATAATGGCCCTGTGTTTAATTTTGCCCACTTTTTTTCTTGCAGGACTGTTGAAGCCTGGAAGTCCCCTCCCCTTCCCCCTCCCCCCTTTGCCGCTTTGTGGCATCCCCCTCCCTCTACCCTTTCCCACTCTGATAATCTAGCCATGACCAGCAGAAGCACAGCCAGGCCCAATGGGCAGCCCCAGGCTAGCAAAATATGCCAGTTCAAATTGGTCCTGCTGGGTGAATCTGCAGTAGGGAAGTCTAGCCTGGTATTACGTTTTGTCAAAGGGCAGTTCCATGAGTACCAGGAGAGCACCATTGGAGGTAAGTATCTCAGAGAAGGAAGAGCTTCACTGCCTTTTAGTAAGGCTTTTGAAGGGCGATCTAGGGACCTGATTGTGAAGCTGGCCCTCTTAGCTCCCTGGAATAGAAATCCTTTATAAAACAGAAAAAAACTGCCACAATGCCAAAAAACAGGTAGAAGAAAGTAAGAAAAGTTGAACTTTGTGCACCAATAAAATCACTAATTTTTTATCTGTCTTCCTTCTCCCATTCTCATCTTAATCTCAGTGAAGTTCAGTTTAGTGTCAACTTGAGCAGGGTTGGTTTGGAGCAGTGATTTGTAATCAAAGATCGCATCATAATCATCTGGAGAGCATTTTCATCCTATGCATGCTTGGGCCCTACCCTAGGTCTACTGATTAGTCTTGGAGGTAGGGTGAGATTGGCAAAAGCGTAAGCATGTATATTTGGAAAAGTTTCTTAGATGATTCTAATGCACATATCTGGTAAAATAGAGACTGGAACTAAATACAGAACTAAAAAAAGATAAAGAGCATCTACCTTTCCCACCTTTGCTACCTTTTCCTTGCCACTACCCACTAATTCAATAAAGGATCTTTTGTAAGAACTCTCACATTACTACTACTCCACTTTTACTAGTCACCTTGGAAATGTGTTCTTGGACCAGCAGGAGATTATATGAAAAAAGTAACAGCCAAATAACACTGATAATGGTGGGACCTCCCATCAAGCTTTAAAATCTTCTAATCAAATCTTGATGTGACTTATCTAAAGCCTATTATCTCTATGTCATTACCTCTTATTCTTCTAATTTGGTTAGAAGAGGGATGACTCTGGTATGAGTGCCAGTTCTTTCAATCTCTCATAATTTATGATGTGTACCCATTCCTTAGCTAGAGAAACTTCTGGCAGGAAGGGCTTAGCCAAGCAGTCTTAATCTTGGTTCTAGGACCTATATATGAGAACACTAAATCTTTTCTTGTAGCTGAATGGCCCGGGTTGTGACTAGTCTTAAAATAAGAGTGAAGATATTGGGGAGAGGGGAGGTGTTCCCATTCATCCTCTCACTTACCACTTCTCCTTCATTCTCTCATCCATAGCGGCCTTCCTCACCCAGTCTGTTTGCCTAGATGACACAACAGTCAAGTTTGAGATCTGGGACACAGCTGGGCAGGAGCGATACCATAGCTTGGCCCCCATGTACTACAGAGGTGCCCAAGCTGCAATTGTGGTTTATGACATTACTAATCAGGTAAGTGGGTTGAGAAGATTATCCCTGCTTTTATTTACAGGAATTAGGTGGGGTAGAGAAAACAGGTTCTTGAAAAAGCAAAAATAAGAGTGCAAATTATGCTTCAAGTGCTGCGAATACAGAGGTAATGAACTTTAAGAGACAGGTGGTTTTCGTGAGGGAAGACCGCCGAGAAGAGTTGAGTTTTGAGCCTGGACTTTGAAGGTGATGGGCCTGGATTGTTAGTCATTCCAGCCCAACCATTTTCTTCCTCATGTTCTCCTAGGAAACTTTCGCCCGAGCGAAGACATGGGTAAAGGAACTACAGCGACAGGCCAGTCCTAGCATCGTTATTGCCCTGGCAGGGAACAAAGCTGATCTGGCCAACAAGCGCGTGGTGGAGTATGAAGTAAGATGGCCCATAGAGTCTCTCTCTAACACACTCCCTTGTACTTCGGACCTCTTTTTGTCCAAACCTGCCCTCTCTGGAAACCTCATCTGAGGACATTCATCATCTCATTCCCTAGTTCTGCACCATGTTAAATACAGCAACAGTGTGACCCTAATGACAGCCAGGAGATTTTAGAGGAGTCAAGAAAATTCCAGAGCAGAGGGGTAGGGAGTACCAACTGTTGGGGGTACCAGTGTGGAAATAGGAAGGAGGGAGCAATGGAATTTGAGGTAAGGGACTATTCAAGTATCAGAACCCAAAAGCCCCCAACCAACTTACTTTCTCAAATATAAGTAAGATTCCTGATATCTTGTTTGTTGCATTAAGACATCTAGACCATGGGTTATCCTTGAAGGAGCTGCCACCAAAACATGGGTCCAGGGCCAGCTGGCTCAGAGGAGCAATTAAGGGGAGGAAACCTAGGATATTGCCTAGCTCTGGTGCTGTGTGGGAGTGGAAAGGCAATACTTGTTTCTTCTCTACATTCTGAGCATCACCACCCCACCCCTTGCAGGAGGCCCAGGCATATGCAGATGACAACAGCTTATTGTTTATGGAGACCTCAGCCAAGACAGCTATGAACGTGAATGATCTCTTCCTGGCAATAGGTAAGGTCTCACTAACACATCATAAAGAGAGATGGGAGTGTCTCCTCTTGTGAAAACTTTGAGTATAGAAATGCCTTCACTTTCCATTGTGACCTCCATCCTTTAGCTGCAGCTTGAGCCCCCTCATCTTTAATATAGTTTACAGTGAACCCTCTCCTCTTCAGAACATTTCTTTTGATGTCTCATATTTCCTCTTTCCCCCTATTTCTCCCTCACCCAATAGTTTGGAGGGTGGATAAGTAAAATCTACCATGTTTTGTTCCCTTCTTTTTATCTCTAGCTAAGAAGTTGCCAAAGAGTGAACCCCAGAATCTGGGGGGTGCAGCATGCCGAAGCCGAGGTGTGGATCTCCATGAGCAGTCCCAGCAGAACAAGAGCCAGTGTTGTAGCAACTGAGGGGGTGGCTAGCAGCAAACAAGTGTGGAGCTAGCACGAGAGCTAAGAAGTAACCTCCATTCCCACCCCTCAGCACACAGCCCCTACGGTAACAGCACACTGAGCCCTGGCTCCCAAGGGCTGCCTCCTGACAGCTCCGTCATGGCACTTTTTAATGCTTCAGCAACCAACACCAGGCAGCTGTTGCCACTGGTCTCCTACCCCTACTCTGGGGCTTGGGGTCAGATCCCCCAGGACTTACCTTCCAAAACAAACTTTCTTCACTTTGTATTATAGGTGCAAGACAGTGACCTACTTATCTTTCCTCCTCCCCATTTTTTCAGAAAACATTTTTTTGTTTGTTTGTTTGTTTCCTGCCCCTTCTCCTGCTTTTGGTCAATCCCAATTCGTGATCCCCTTTTCTCCTCTCCCCAGGATGGAGAAGGTGGTGAACCCAGGAACTGAGGAAGGAGATTTCCAATTCAGTCACAGTAAGGGCCCTGGGGGAGAGTAAGGCGTGGAGCATGAGGGAGTAAGGAAAGATTTCCTTTTTGGTTTTATCTGGTTGGAGTTTCTCATATTTAACAACAGTGCAGTATCCATGAGTTGGCCTTGTGGAGGATGTTTCTAGGTAGAGTGAGAATGGAAAGGCAAGCTCTCAGGCACCAGGTAGGAGTTGTGTTGTTAGCTAACTGGGTGGAGGTGGAGGAGGAGGTGGAGATGCTAGTTTGGAGGCCTAGTTTCCCCTCACTAGCCTTTTTAGGTAGTGTCTCCCACATAGTGGGGGAGACTCCGGACCCCTGAGTCCAAAGAATCTTCACTGGTTGCCTGCATCTTTGGCTCTGCTGTGATCTAATTGGGGGAGGGACCTGTTTCTGATACCCATCCTCTGATTTATACGTATGCATTTTTTTTCTCTCTGGCCTTTAGATGGCCTCAGCCTCAGCCACTATAGCCCCCTGCAGTTTGCACTTTAATTGATGGTAGTTCAGTTGGGATACTTGTTTTATGGGGGGGTTGATGGATTTACCTGCCCTCTCACCTTTTTAATTAAATGGAATCTGAGATGTATATGAGATTTCGAGAGGGACTATAGAGAACAGTACCAGTGGCAGCTACTCAAGCCCAGTCTTCACTGCTAGCTTCCTTCGACTCTGATTCTTAACCTAATTTCTTGCCATCCTAGCTCTTGGGTATAGATTTGCCTTTCCTGGGGAATTAACTGAAGCAACTGGAGAGAGGTCTCAGGATAGAACAGGCCATGGTAGGGGGTGAAGAGGAGTTAGACAAGAAGGAGGAGTTTCCTCTCCTTTCCTGGAGTTCGTGTTCAATTTGATCCACCCATTACCATTCTTTTCTACTTCCCTGTAAATAGGTATTATCTTTATTCCCACTGTACAGTCTGTTCAGTTCTCTACCTCCCATCAGGCCCCATTTCTTCTTTGTTAGTATCTTCAGTTTAGTCCCTCCGTGCTTATTCCCATACCCATCCCCCATGTAACCAGTGGCTTAATCTATATACCACTAGGGGCTATCACCACAGAGGCCTACTTGTGGCCCCCTCATGGCATAACACCTGTTCCTGTGGACAGAACTACTGGCACTGAAGGTCCTTCACAACTGTCTCACATCACCAGAGGACATTGATCCTTTCTCAGTCTCTAGCCTCTCTTCACATCCCTTCTTTGGGAAGGCATCAAGACAAGAGAGAACTCTAAACTTATTCCAGTTGTGGGAAAATTGGGGGAAGTAAGATAGTGAAGGCCTCAGTGACCTAGGATCGGAAGCTTTCTGCCCTTTTGGCTTGAAGACTTCCTTCTGTCCCAGAGTAGCTGAGAAATCCATGAAGCTGAGATTCTGAAAGATTCAGCTTCGATTCTTCCACTTGGGCCTCAGTTCCCTTTCTTTTACAGGGACAGCCTTAGTTCCCGTGGCCCTGAAATACATTTCCCCCTTTTCCAACACCCAACAGCACCCCGTGAATCTTTACGAGTGGAAGAACTAGAATGGTTCTGAAGTCTCTTAGAAATGAAATTCTTTATCTCTGCAGCAGAAATGAAGATGTTTCATTGCCTTGGGGCTGGGAAATCATTTCTCCAGGTTTCCTCTTCCCTCTCCCGCCCCCTTAGGAACGGGATTGGCCTTAGCTTCTGGGCCTATCTGCTGTCTTCCTTCTACTTTCCTTTGAGCTCTGTTGGGCTTGGGGATCTTAATTTTTATTTCCCAGCTTTCATTTTTTTCTTCTGATCAGTTATTTTGGGGGGGGGAAGGTTCCTCTTTTTTTCTTCTAAGAAAGCATTTGCCTCTTTCCCCCTTTCTTCCTCTTTCAACATAACAATCGTGGTAACAGAATGCGACTGCTGATTTACCGATGTATTTAATATAAGTAAAAAAGGAAAAAAAACTGTATTGGAGTGTTGCTTCTTTTTGTTGTTGTTGTTGTTGTTGTTATTTGTCTGTTTGATACTAGAAATTTGGAAGAAAGGACACCCAATAATGTTATTGAATCTGAAACACACCCTTTCCTGCATATTGGTGCCTCCTTAGTCCCTTTAATCTTGTCTTTCATAGTGAGGTAACTCAATTTGGAACATAGCCCCTATATTGCCGTTTAATCACTCTTATTCCAAGGCCACTAGAGAGCTCATAAAATCTGACCATAGCCTTTTTTTAGGCCCTCATAACAGAATGTATATATGGAGTAGGGGTGGAATCTATGGACCTTTGGGCAGACAGTTGTTGAGATTGGAGAATGGTGGAATTCGTGACTCCTTTGAAGTATGCAAAAATGTATGTGCATTTCTCTAGGGAGCAGGTCCTTATTAGTATCTCAAAGGGGATCGTGACCTAAAAAAGTTTTTAAAAATCACTACACTAGCATTTTTGATGGATCATGTGACTTCTACCCCAACAGGAAAATTTCTTCTAGATCTGTATTTGTTTCCTACTGTACATGGAGGTAGGTAGGGGGAAATGATACAGAGAAAAGATTAGGTATGTTGCAGGAGGAGTTTTAAATTCCAAAGAATCTGAAAGACAGGAAAGAGGACTGGTCCCAGACAGATCTGGCATTTCAGTCCTGTTCCTGCCGACTTACCAGCTGTGGCCTTAATCAAGTTACTTAGCTGCTCTCTACCTGTTTCTCCTGTAAAATATATGTTGAGGTTTCAAGGTCAATTATGTACAGCATGTGTGCAGCATGCAGAGAAGTGACACTTATTAGTGAGAAGTCTTATCCCCATGGCTTTAGAAAGTAGCTGACTTCCTTGGGCTGAGCTTGTTTTTTAAGACTGATAAGTCTGGTGTCAGGGCTCTCCAATGATTTAATTGTACACAGTTGAGTTGGAAATCTTTCTATTTCCCAAAACTTCAGAGCCAAAATCACCTTTTCAGTGTCAGTTCCCCTTTATGTACATTTCTTAGTACCTGCCCCGGCCCTCATGGTTCCTTGATTCCTGATAAAAGCTCTAGTTCAGTTTCAGAGAGCAAAAAGCAAGGGGAAATGATCTTCCAAAATTAAAGATTAAGACCTTCACTGAAAGTGAGTAAGGTTGTAGCTCAACTTTCTTTTCTCTAGAGGGCAGTGTAGATACGTTTGGCCCAAGTTCACAGCCAGCCAATGACAAAAGTTTTCAGTTCACGAAATAAAAAGGTTAATAGCAAACGATTTAGTGTCCTTTACTCTGAGATTATGAGCGATTATAATCCTAATTTTGGGTATTAAATGTCACTTCTCTTGTTAAACGACGATTTTTTAAAATTTTCTTAACTAAGCAAAATAAAAAAGATGTCTATTCCAGTGTTGTGTGTTCCATAATTTGGGGAAAAATTCAACTAACCCAAGGAATCTCAAAGTTTTTGAACCACTATTTAGTCGTCGTTTCTGCTGTCATTTCTGGATATAAGAGAATTGAGTGCTTGACCTTGTTTTTTCTAAAAGACAAACAGGACGGTTTCAGTTGCAACACAGATTTGTCAAAAACAGGGTAGAGGCAAATTTCATCGCCTGGAAGAAAGTGGGCTGGATCCCGAAGCTTCCTCCAGTGAACGGCTGTAGAGACGGGGCGGGGGCATCTCAAAGTCTTCCACCTCCCAATCTTTAAAGTCCTCATTACCTTCCACTGCCAGGGTTCCTTCCAGGACATCAGTGAGGGTCCCATTCCTTGTCTAGCCTGCATGGGAACAAACCTGTTTTAGCTTTAAGCCCTGGAGGCGCCCCGCCTCCCTTGGCCTGCAGGAGGCGGGCACAGCAGCTAGGAGGCGGCCCGCAGCCCGCCTATGGTTGGAGGATGAGCCGGAGGGGAGGTGGAGGAGCTAGAGTGGTCCTTTAACTCAGTCTCAACGTCATGGCGCTGGCTCCGCCCCTTCGCCAGCAGTCTCTGGGCGCCCGGCAAGTAAAAGCCACCCTGCAGACGTCGAACAGGGTAAGGGTTCTGGACCAGGGAGAGGGAAGAGGAGGAGAAAGAGTTGGTGACCCAGGTGATGGCGGGGGCCTTGGTACCCAGGGGTGCTGCCAACCCCAGGGACAAAAACACTGCCAGTATTTGCCTCCACTCCCGCTGACCTGGTGCTACTGGGGCGAGGGTGTTGCTACAAGACACTCGTGTCAGGTGCTGGGTAGTGGCATGGGACCGGGTGCTTGTACCCCAATGCTAGACATATCCTACCTAAAATGCCCCTGAGGAGTGAGGAGCCACCACCCTTACAAGGGGGTGGCATCTGTTTTGTAGCAGCAGGCTCCCTCTCTCAAAACCTGGGACATTGAACTGACCGAGTTCACTGGCAGGTCAGTCCTACCTGCACTGCTCCCGTCTGGTTCTAGTGGGCAGGTGGGAGGGAGAGTGAGGGGCCTATGGCCCAGGGGTAAAATGCAGACTCTGCTCCTACTCCTATCTCCCTCACAGTTCCTCTACCTGCCCCTCTCTTTTAACATCTTATCAATAATTGGGACTCTTCTCACCCCTCTCCACTTTGGCCTCCTGAGGTCAGCGATCTGTTCAGTGCTCTGATTAAACTGCTGCAGGGCAGAAAGCAGAAAAATTACCTTCCTTCTCTAGCCCATCCCCTGACACCCTGGCCATTAACTCCTCAATTTGCTGAGCTAAATGGAGTGACATAGACAGGGGTGGGGACTCTGGGTTGGGGTTCAGTTCCCAGCTAGGTTCAATTTTTTAAGGGTGAATGGAGAGAGTAGGTGGAGAGAAAGGCCTTCAAAGATAATGTTGTTTACTCGTCACAGTAGCTCTGCTAGGTAGATCTCATTTCATAGATGAGGATGCCAATTCAGAGAGGCTTGGTATGTATGTTGCCTAGGGAACGGGGCTGGTTAATGGCTACACACACCCAAAGCAGTTAGACTGCAGAATCTGGGCTCCTTCACCCCATTAGGCTGCCACTACCCTTTTCTCCTTTTTGTTCCTGTTTAAGTCAGTCTGCCCCTCAGTTGTCTGCTCCTGACTTCAGAAATAATAAACCAGCAAACTGGACAATACACATTTGGCTTCTACCGTTTAGACTCTTTGCCCCAGACATTGTTCTCTGTAGTGGACAAAGTAGAGAGTGGAGGATGGGAGATAGGTGATTCTAGAAGAATCACTCACCCCCATTCCCTTTCATTCTGTCAGCACAGTCTCCCTAAAGTGCTCCAGGTTTTCTCTAAGGGCCCATTTGGACCCCTACTCCTACCCTTTGGCCTTATTACCAAAGAATAAGACTCCCCATTTGACCTCCTCTGTGTCTTCCTCCCATCTGTTCCCTCAAACTGCCCTAATTTCATCCCTTCCCAAGAATCCCTATCTTGATCCTGGAATCTTCTTCCTACAGGTCTGCCACAATGCTGCTGCTGCACAGAGCTGTGGGCCTGGGACTCAGACAGGCCTGCAGGTAGGCCACCCCATCCTAAGACTTGTCTCCTAGTCTGTATCTCCCACTTCCAGTATCTTTATGGTGTTTTGTCTTATCTGCTAGATAAGACAGTTGAGTTGGTGGCCAGAAAGAAAAAGGAAAGCTAGATCCCACTTGTCCCACCCATTCCTGGGGAAACTTAAGTTCTAACTGAAGGAATCAGTGGCCAACCAGGGAGAGGTAAACCCCAGGCCTTCACTGATGGGAATTGTGCTACTAAGAAGATCTCTATCTCTTCCAGACTCAAGTCTACCACCTCAAGGATCTGTATTCAGGTCTGCTCTACAAATGATTCATTTCAGCCCCAGTGCCCCAGCCTCTACTTCTCTAGAGATAAGTACAGCACCAGAGGATGGAGAGTCGTGGGGGCTCTGCTAGGCCTCGGGGCAGTGTTGACCTATCGGGACCACCGTTGCAGGGTAAGTGGGGAAGGAAAGGACTTCGCTATCAAAACAAAGGGACCCTAGTGAGCTCCCCAGGCAAGCCAGGCTGTTACCACAGAGCCCAGGGTGATACTGTCTTCATGCACTATAGAAATGAAATCTGCTACCCCATTTCCCAGTGGCCATGACTTTGTGGATTGGTTCAGGGAAAGCTATGGTGATTTCTTAATATTCTGTTCCCTTCTGCCTCACCCCTCCCCTGCCTGCAGGCTGCTCAGGAGTCACCACGCATATACACGAGGGAGGAAGTAAAATCCCATAGCAGCCCTGAGACTAGGATCTGGGTGACCCTGGGCTCCGAGGTCTTTGATGTCACAGAATTTGTGGGTCTACACCCAGGGGGGCCATCAAAGCTGATGCTAGCAGCCGGAGGACCTCTAGAGCCCTTCTGGGCCCTCTATGGCATCCACAACCAGTCCCACGTGCGTGAGATACTGGCTCAGTACAAGATTGGGGAGCTGAGCCCCGAAGAAAAGGCGTCTTCCACCTTGAAGACCTCTGACCCTTATGCTGATGATCCTATACGTCACCCAGCCCTGAAGGTCAATAGCCAGTGCCCCTTTAATGCAGAGCCTCCCCCTGAGCTACTGACGGAAAACTACATTACCCCCAACCCTATTTTCTTCACCCGGAACCATCTGCCTGTACCTAACCTGGACCCAGACACCTATCGCCTGCATATAGTAGGGCCACCTGGGGGTCAGTCACTGTCTCTATCCCTGGATGACTTGTACCAGTTCCCTAAGCACGAGATAACAGTCACTCTGCAGTGTGCTGGCAACCGGCGCTCTGAGATGAGTCAGTTAAAAGAAGTAAAAGGTCTGGAGTGGAGTACAGGAGCCATTAGCACTGCACGCTGGGCTGGGGCACGACTATGTGATGTGTTAGCCCAAGCTGGTCACCAGCTCTGTGAAAACGAGGCCCATGTCTGCTTTGAGGGACTGGACTCAGACCCCATGGGGACTGCCTATGGAGCATCCATCCCTCTGACTCGGGCCATGGACCCTGAAGCTGAGGTCTTGCTGGCGTATGAGATGAATGGGCAGCCTCTGCCTCGTGACCATGGCTTTCCAGTGCGGGTGGTGGTTCCTGGTGTGGTGGGTGCCCGACATGTCAAATGGCTGGGCAAAGTGAGTGTGGAACCAGAGGAAAGTTACAGCCACTGGCAACGGCGAGATTACAAAGGCTTCTCTCCATCTGTGGACTGGGACACTGTAGATTTTGACTCAGCTCCATCTATTCAAGAACTTCCTGTCCAGTCAGCCATCACAGAGCCCAAGGATGGGGAGATGATAGATTCAAGGGAGGTGACTGTCAAGGGCTATGCATGGAGTGGTGGTGGAAGAGCTGTGATCAGGGTGGATGTATCTCTGGATGGGGGCCTAACCTGGCAGGTGGCTCAACTGGATGGAAAGGAACAGCGCCCCGGAAAGGCCTGGGCCTGGCGGCTATGGCAGCTGCAAGCCCCTGTGCCAGCTGGGGAAAAGGAATTGAACATCGTTTGTAAGGCTGTAGATGACAGCTACAATGTGCAGCCAGACACCGTGGCTCCAATCTGGAACTTGCGAGGTGTGCTCAGCAATGCCTGGCACCGTGTCCATGTCTGGGTTGCCCCATGAGAAGGTGAAATGGAACCATCTACTCCCCAAACCACCTTCTCAACCTCTTTCCACACTCATCCTTTAGCCTCATTACCACAGAAAAACCTCTTCCTCCATCCACTTCTTGGATCACATTATACCTTCTTAAGCTACACAAAGGAAGACACATTGCACATTTCCACCCAGGCACCGCCCTCCTTTGACACTGTTACATACCTCTCCTGGCCACTGATCCTGTGCCAGGAGGTGAGAGCTGTAGGGACAGGGGGCTAGAAGTGGAAATAGTAATTCTGGAAACAAGCACTATTTTCTCTTCCTACCCCACCTCCACTTCTAATGTCTATCACCGATGAAGCCTTAGTTTGCTTTTCAAGTGTATATGCAACTTTCTGTTGCCTCTCTGGGTTGTGAGGAGTTATGAGGGGTGCAACTTTGCTAAATATTTCAATAAAGCATTTGTTTAAAACTACAACTCAACGAAGAGAAAATAAGATTCTTTTTTGGTACTTCTTGAGGCTGGAGAGTGAGCATGTTGCTTGAGGGAGATGTACTGGGATGTGTAATGAGGTAATCCAAAACAAAAGGTGGGGGAAAGGAACAAGAAACAGGTGCAGAGAAGTGAAGAAGTAGGGCTTCCTTCTCAGAAGTCTGTCAACATCTGCAGCGCTACTTAGGGGACTGAACTCAAGACATACTCCCCAATAGATTTTCAAAAATTTGCCACCCTGAAACTACCCCTCCGCCCCCACCCTCGCCCGGCTCCATTCCTACGCAGTTGGCAGGAAAGGCAAAGAATGCTGAGGTTAAAATCAATATTGTCTTAGGAGGTTCTGGGTCAAAATTTGGCCTTAGGGGCAGATGTGCCAGGACACATGGGGTGTCCAATGTGCGTCTAGTTTGCAAATTAGATGCAGATGAAGGAGCAGTCATTGAGTTACCCTTTGCACGCGACCGCGCCTTTCGGACTTGAATCTTTCGGCGCTCGGCTATTCTCCCCTAGCTCTTCTCCCTTCTTTCCCCAGCAGTCTCCCCGGCTCGGGGGCGCTCGGTGTTCGGCCACGCCGCCTGTCGCCTGGTAGTGGGACCGGAAGTTGTTCGGGGGAGGGGAGACGGCTGTGATGGGGGGGGTTTATGGGGGAAACCCGTCCCTCCTCAGGTGAAGCCGCTGATGGAGATGGAGCCGCCGCCGCTGAGGGTCTGGGTCCCGGCTCCGGTCCGGTTGCCACTACCTCAGTGACCCCCACTCCCCCCGCACTGGGCCGCCCGGGCCAGAGTGGGGGACCCCCGCCGCCCCGCCCCCTTTTCCCCCAATACCTAAACCCCTCTCCCTCACCCCCGCAGCCAGCGCGCGCGCGGAGGAGCCTCAGGTGAGTGAGAGGCGGGGCTTTGGCGTAGTGCGGGGGGCGGGGCCTCGGGCGCCGGGGGCGGGGCCTGAGGGGCTTAGGCATGAAGCGAGGGGAGACGTGGGCGCGGGGTAGGCGGGGAGAGGGTCGCTGGGTAGGCTTCCGCCTGAAGGAAGGAAGCTGTCCATGGGGAGTTGGGCGCCAGGCCTCAGGATGGAGGGGGAGGTAGCAGGGACCTAGGGGTCCTAAAAAGGCGGGAGGTGGGTCAAGGCAGAGGACCCAGGACACGTAAGAGCTGGTGTGCGTGAGGTTCCTCTGTGGGGTAGACAGATAGAACAGAGGGACAGAGCGGCGAAAGTAGAATCAGAGAGGGTACCTGGGAAAAAATAAGGGTCCCTGAGGTTTGGTCGAGAAGGTTGGAAGGAAAGACAGGCCTCGGTGGGAAAGATCTGGGAGGCAATGAGCAAAGCGTGAGAAATGTGGTAGAGAAGAAACTTAAGGTAGAGGAAAAAGTGCTGTCTGGGGTACTGTGCAGGGTGAGAAGTCTAGGAAACCGGAGAAGCAAGGCTGAGAAGGAAGAGATTCACTGTATGAGCCCTAAGAAAGAAATGTAACAGGAAGTGGGTCTAAACTAAAAGAGCCCTCCATGTACCCCCTCAGCGTCATCCCAGTTATTTTCTTACCCTTGTTTGTTAGAGTTGTAGATTCTCACTTTTTAAATTTTTGTTTGAATTCTATGCTTTTTTTAAAAATCGTGACTGATCTTGTCTGAAGACAGTGGAATGTTTAATGGAACATGGACCTCTAGATATGAGATGTTTAGGAAATAAGGTACTTTTTCCCCCTCCAAAGTCAAGAATTTACTGCTTCCAGGAAGATTTGATGCATTACCAACCACATTGTGTCATACCTTCTTTCGCCTCAGTCCCTTCTCTCATAAGCAAAACTGTTTACTGTTGTGACTCTTATTGACCCCTACTTACATGTTTGATAGCTGCAGCTGTGCCCTAGTCTCCCCAGTCTGAGCCCTTCAAGCATCAGTGGTAAGCTTGATATGTTCCTGACTAGTTCACATGTCAGTTCTAGGCCTTCCATCATCATGACCAAGCTGAAGAATGTTGAGGACTGGCTGTCTCCCCTTACTGCTACTTGTTCACTTAGCCTAGATGACGTTCATATGTTCATATCCTTAGGAAAGCACGGAAAACAGGTGTCTGACTACCTAGAATATTTCCACTTAAGAGAACTTAAATTCTGAGGACAAGACCAGATAAAAGGCCAAATCAGACAGTCTTTGAAAGTATAGCATCTTGTTTAGTAGAAATATATTATATGCCTAGCCAGGAATCCCTCATCCCCTCATGGGTCTGCCAGTAGGTCAGTCACTTAGTGTTATGGGGGTGACTTCAGCCTTCCCCACTAACAGCCTAAAGCCAGAGAATTCAGACAGCTCCCTGGGTCATGAGAACACAAGAGTGGCTCCTGAGATAAAAATAAGGTCTTTAAAGAAGAAAATAGCCTTACCATTGGAAAGCAGGAAAAGTTTCACTGGAACTTCTAGGGTGGGCTCCAGGGTGGTGGGAACTGCCTTCACTTTGGCAGCTTCAGAATTATATCTTGCCCTAGTCAGTAGATGCTGATGTCTCAAGCACAAAACATAATGTCTTTGTTGCCTACTGAGTGCAGTTAGTTCAATTGTAGCTTCTGGGCAATCCCCTTCCTTCCAGCAGGTTAAGGATACAACATGTTTTAGGACTTGGCTCAGAAATAAGTCCTGACTTTTTTCCAGTGGTAATGCAACTGAAAGTTTCTTCTTTATTTCTTCTTAGTTTAAATCTGCAGCTTGTACTTCCCAGCATGGGAAGAACGTTATCCCACCTTTTACCCTGTGCCCTCCAGCATCCACAAAGGAATTATTTTCTCCCAGACTGGCCATCTCTCTTCTCTCAGCACGCACACAAAGTAGCCAAGGAAAAATAAAGATAAGTTATTGTTGGGCAGCTATTTCTAGCCTCATTTTACTCTGTGGGAAGAAAAAAGTGTGGGACCCTGTAGGTGCAGACAATGCCACAGACAGAGGGACTCCCTTTCGTTGTTGGTCTCTTGACCCTGCTGGAGAAGGCTCTGAATTCTGGGCTGTTTGATTTGCCTCCTCTTCTCAGAAGAGTTTTGGGCTCTGTATTGGAAACAGAGAGACAGGTTCAAGGTCTGTCAGACAAAAACATCTAAGAAAGGGTAGTGCTGATATGAATGGCCTGGTCTCTCCTGGGGTAGCATCAACTTTGTAGATTCTGCTGGAATACCTATGCTGGCATAGTCCTTGAGCCAAGAAGCCCTGTTTCTACCTTAAAGATATTTAGTGAGTGTCTAGGTTGACTTTTTCCTCAGCCCTGTAATCTCTGAAGAGACATGGGCAGGAAATTATTTTTCTCATCCATAAACCTGTTTTTAGTTCAAGGATTTCAGTCACTAAGATGTAGACCCAAAAACTGTTTATTTTGTCACCCAAGAAAGCAAGCAAGCAGGTTGGCCCCAAACCTTCCAGCTATGGAAATATTTAACTTTGTGCCATGGTGGAAAGAAACCCAGACTAGAAACCTGGATTCTATTTGTCCTACTTCTATCACTAACCAGATGGGTGACTCTGGGCTTAGCTGCTGCTTCTCTTAAAAACAAGAAGTTGCAGATCATCTCTAAGTCCATTCTAGCTCCGAGATTCCCCAGGTTCTAGAACACTCCTGCTCCAAGATCCTCCACAGGAAGAGAGGCTTATTAAATTAGCTTGTCAGAACAAAGTTCTTTGTTAGCAGAGTAGCCTCAAAACATCTTTCTGGTCCAAACAACAGTGAGCTCTTTTGATTAGCATGCATTAAGGACTTCTGGCCAGGACTGCCACCAAAGGCAACTGTTGCTATGTCTTCCAAGTTTTTGCCACCCCATCCTACTCAGAATACTTAGTTGAGACTTCAGTGCAATTTCAAACTTCACCTGATGGAGCTAACCCTCTTTTGGACATCACTGGCTTCAAAACTGATTATTGTAACACTCAAATTGAATTCCTCACTCTACTTTGCCCAGCCTGTTCAAACATAGAGCAGTGACTTTGTGGGGCCTTTCTATAAACACAGGGATTGTATACTCAAGAGTATACCCTGAAAACCCAGAAAGTATCATCGCATGTGCATCCCACCTAGTGATTTAAACTGTTTAGTTTGGACCTTTAATTCCTTAAGTCCTGAAATGAGACATGGGAGGGGTATGACTGTTTCTGCTCCCACCCATAAACCTTAGACTTCTCTCTCTTCTGCAGCCTAAATTGGGAGGACAGGGAAGCACAAAGAACAAGAGAAAAGATGCACTGATCTGAGGTCTAACAGGAGACAACGAGGCGATATTTTCCCACTGCCCAGATGTTGTGTTTCCAGCTCTTACCCCTTCTTATTTTAGAGCCCGGCCATTCCTAGGATGACCTGGGAATTCATCCCTTCTACACTGCTCCCCAAGCACTTGGATAAGAAGCTGAGCTGTCTTCGTCCATGTTATATGTAGACAGAATGTCACCATTTACAGCCTGGTGAAAAATGAAGCAGATCTTCCTGCTGTAAAGACAGACACATGAGCTAAGAAAAGGTGGGTGTTTCCTTTAGGGGGGCACTAGGTTGTCCCTAAAGATCATTTCAGAGCTGCAAATTGCTCAATTTCACGGTCTGTTTCCTGGAAAGGGATACACAGTCAGATTGCAGACAATGCCTAATTCCACCTCTTTGCTCAACCCACTACCTGTTCCCCCTCCCCAATTAGACAAAGCCTTGGTAGGGAGTATAGATAGCCAGCTATATGATTCCAACATGTTATTGCTCAATTTATTCAGTTCATGAAGGCACAGACAAAAGAGGGTGATGCTGTGGTTTGATCTACTTGTAGTAACTGAACTGCTCACTCCCAGGCAGGTGGGAAGTTCTATCTTGTTAATCACTGGACTCCACCTCAGATCTCAGGTCCTAAGGGAGACCAGAGAAAAAATTTCCACTTGTCTCTGTTGTAGTTCAGGAATAATAACCAAAGGATGGCATGGATTCTTGTCACTCTCCACCTCCACCCTCTTTCCTAACAATAGCCCCCTCACTACCTTTCTACCCACATTAGGCCACATGGAGTATGTTTTAAATTCCAATTTTGGAGTGTCATTGGCTCAAACAGGATTCCTTGGAGGATTTGAAGAGCTTTAATTACTTGTGATGTCCATCTCATTTTAGGCCTTCAGAGCCACTACACAGAAAAAACTTGACTTGCTGACATTTTTGTCACCAATAGTTAGAGCTGTGGGAGTGTTTTGCAGAGATAGGGAGATAGGGGTAGTAGCTGATTCCTGACCTGACCTTGGAACACAGACCTTGGATTGGTCCTCACCAGCTGCTTGTCAGGAAGTGTGGTGGGAAATCTTCTATCTGGAAGGGATGCTCATTCCTGTTCACATGTGACATCATATTGATGGGAGAAATTCGAGGCTATGGAAGGCTCTTATTATGGTACCAAATGGATTCAAAAGAACAAGGAAGAAAATCTTTGTCTCCAGAGGTTACAATGACCAACCTTTCCTCTCTCCTCACAGAGATACTTCTTTTGGAATTGGGAGATTAGTAGTTTCTGGTTGTTTTATATTCAACTCACTGAACTGAATTTACGGTACATATGTGCCTACCTCTATCACTGAATGACATCTATGTTGCTATAAAGCCAGTTTCCTTCCAAGATCTTTGAGCCAAACCTGTCTTGTGTAACTAACTTCTCTCTCCTTATATCTCCTTCCTGTGCAGTGTGTCTCCAGTCGGGACTGCCTAATTTGACCCACTTACTCTAAGGAGACACTAAGATCTGCCTGCCTTGCCTGGCAGAGGAGGAGGTTCTTTAAGGGATGGGGAGTGGGAAGATTGGAAGATATGTACCACCTGGGGACTTGAGCCAGTAATGAAGTTCATCTACTGATTTGCTCTTGGCTTTCAGAATACCAGGACTGGGAACAGCAGAATCTGATGCCCTCTGACTTCCAAGGTTACCAAGTTGGCATTTAGACCAGTTGGAGGCAGCTGAAGACTTATGTGGTCCAAAATGTGTCATGGAGTACCTGTTAAGAGCAATTAAGAAGCAGAAGAGCTCAGTTTAGTTCTAGGAACAAAGTCCAACTCAGAAAACAGCTCCTCTAGACCCTTCTGGAAATTGTTTTAGGGCCATTTGGGCAGGTGTCCAAGAATGAGATGCATTTCCTGAGCCAGTGCTGGTTGAATGCTAAGCTTCAACTGCTCTGCCTACCTAATGCTTGTCTAGCCCCTGGTTCACACACACACACACACACAATTGCATTAGCATATTTCTCTTAGTAGAGCCTGTTCAACTTGTTCTTCCTTTTTCAGTAACAGACCTTACTCCCACAGGAACACACCAAAGTAAAAGATGCCTTAATTGATGTTAGAACCAGGGAAAAGCAAGAGATCCATGAAGGCCTTGAGTACCCTGGATTTGAAAGGAAGCAGGGTAGTTTACTGGAAAGAGCACACCTCAGAAAGGCAGGAGACTTGCATTCTTTTTCTTATTCCAGTCTCACCATGAGCCCTGAGACAAGCCAACTGTGCCAAGCCTCAGTTTCTCCAAACAGAAAATGGGGAAAATCCTGCTCACTCTTCCTTCTCCTGCATGCATGCATGGGTGTGTGTGTGTGTGAAGCAAGTCACATGTGGCATCTTGAGCTTTGCAGTAGTTTTGAAAAATCCCAAAGGGCAATTATGGAGCTAATGATTTGGAAATGAAAGGGGCATTTTAAGTACTAGGTGACCCGCCCTCATCTTTGGATCTCTAATCGCCACAAGTTCTCTGGCTAGTTCCACAGGGTATGAGTTTGCTGACCCCTGTGGACTTGGACTCTTCCAATCAAGGAACCACGTATTAGTGTGGCTTGGTCTAGCAGTCAGTCTATGCCAGGGAGGATGTCAAGAAGAGAGTTGAAAATACATTTAGAAAAATTTGTCCTCCATACCTAGTCTTCCTGGGTGAGACTAGCAATCTCTCTGATGAAATCTGCTTTGTGAGTGAAGGAAAGCCCATGTTTCAGGCTTTCTCATGAGACTTAGAGGAGTTTGATGTCCCTCAGCACTAGATAAGAATGACCAAGAAAGAGAGAGAGGGTAATAGATACTTTCCCCCGGTGTACCCTCCAGAACTCCCCACCCCTGCCTCTGTCAATACATTATGAGCAACTCAAATTTTCATCCATCTGCCTTAGTGAGATCCTTCAAAGAGACCAAAAATCCTGGTGGCACCTCAGGCTCTTTCCTTGCCCCACTCTTGTTCCCTAAAATCTGCCCCTGAGGTATTTATTTTTCATTAGGTGAACATGAAAGCAATTTTGGATGAATGTAAATTCCAACTAAACAGATTTTTTTCCTCCTCCCACAGGCTCCTAAGGAGATAATTCATTGCAACAAATTATCACTTTTAATTGTTCTCAGTTCTGGATTGTTTAATACTGTACTGCCAATTACTGCCTGCCTTACCTCAAATAGACTAACCTGCATTTTAAATTCAGACTCACTCCCCCCGCCCTTTAAAAACAATAAAATAGCAAAGTAATTGACAAGAACGTGGGGTAAGCTATTTAAAGGTTTAATTTGTTTATTATACCTTTAGTAGAGGACTCCTCACTGAACCTGAAGCAGGCTGCCCTCCTCCTTTTTCCACTTTCTTATCCCTCTCCCACCAATATCCAAAACAAAATCCCTTGAATGACTGAATCCTGTTTCTTCCTCTTATTACTACTCCATGCTTAACAAGGTATAGAGTCTCTATGGGACTGTGTCTTTGCTTCCCAAGGGCAGAGCTGAGGTGTAACCTGCCTCCTTTCCTACAGCATCAGCTCCACCTACAGGGAGAGGGTCTACTCTCAAAACCATATAACGAGGACCACTCTGGAATAAGACAGTGTTTCCACCCCAGAGGCTGGGGAAGCAGAAGTTATGGGTTGAAGGAGACCCTGGGGCTTATAAGTCAGGATACATTGTCTTTCATGCCAGGACTAAGTATGAAGTTTTTCTTCTTTAGGATAGGGTCCGAACACACTTAAATGATCCTTTAGATTTCTTGTTAACTCCAGAATGTTAGAGAGAAACCTCCTTCCTTCCCAGATCTGGCTTCTAATAGCAGCTATTTTCTTTTTCAGCAGAATCTAAGATGGACATAGAAGACTGCAATGGCCGCTCCTATTTGTCTGGTATGCCTTCTTGTGCATTCTACTTGTAAGGGGCTGGAGCACTCTCCTGTGGAGCAATCTTCAGCCTAGCATTGGTCCTCTGAGTGCCATAGTCACAAAGCTGACACTCACGCTTGGTAATGCTTGGCAGTGTGCATTTGATTTTGGTCATTTTACATTCCCTAGTGATTCTCTTCCCAGACTTCTTGGGGGATAGGGAAAGGGGAAGGGAGTAGGAGGGGAATACGAGTAGAGACTATTAGAAAGGAATGATTTAAAGCAAAGAGATCGAAGGAAGATGTGGTTCCTTCTGTGCTCTGAGGTCACCAGCCAAACATGACATTCTGTCTCAGCCAGGTAGAGAGTGGAGCGGAGTTTCAGACCTCAAAGGCCTTGTGAGGTCAGGTGGGTATGTAAATGAGTGACCCAGGTCAGGATAATGGACAGAAGAGAAGAGTAGGGGATTGTCATGACCTGGAGAACACATATCCTACCTAACATAACATCAGGTCTTCAGTGCACACGTCTCTGCCATGTGGGAATGTGTATCCAGTGTAGCCAAAACTTCCAATTTTTTAAGAGAAATCAGAAATCCAGATTTATCTCGTATGTCTCCATTTAAAAATAATGACTCGATATTTTTTTAAATGTTCCATGGGGCAAGCTAAACTTATCTATAGGCCAAATTTAGCCAGTGGGCCAACAACTTACAGTCTTTGAAGTAGATATAGAGCCCAATCCTTCCCCCAGTCCTTTTCCACGATCATAACATGTAGCTTTTCATACCTGCCAAATACTCTTATGGCAGGTATAAGATCATTGCTTATAGTATGACTGGCTTTTAGAGATATGAAAGTAATCAGGATCCCCTCAGAGTTTAACAAGGGAAAAGAAATAAGGAACTTTATCTGGGTCCCTCTCTAAGGGTATAGGAAAGGGCCTAAGACAGAGTGTCTCTAAGATGAAAGGAATCATTTTGTGGACCATTAGAATGTCAGGGCAGAAAATGATTATAAGAAGTAAGGGAAACCAGGATTTGGTTTTGACATGATGAATATCCCTATCGGAAATCTAAGCACCACTGTAGAAATGACCTATACTTATTTTTTTTTACCCTAAAGTGAAACTGATGGAGGAGTTATGGGCATGCACTAAGGGAGATAGCAGCATAGGTCAGGTACACATATAAGAGTCATCAACAACACCCGGGTAATGTAAGGGACGACATCGACTCTAACCCCTTTTTTATTTAAGGAGGGAAGGAGTTGGAATGAATAAAGGCGTGCAATACCTGCCACATGCTGGACAGAGGGACAGGGATCAAGTGGACTAACTTAATTGAAAGAGACTTTATTGGTACAAAAGTCGTAGCCTTTCTAAGGAACCAGCCAACCTTCCTACCTTCTGCTCAGTTAAGCCTGTTTAGAAAACCGCTACCGAGCAACAACCACACGCAGGACCCCACTTTATTGCTGGGGACCATTCAGATGGATAAAAACCATTCCCTGCCCTACGGTAGGCAAATGAAAAACCAGGAAGGTGGCCGGGGAAATATCCCATGGAGCTCTTTCCAGTGCTATCTCTGGAGAATGTTGGATATTAGAGGGACATTCCTGAGAGAGTTGGCTTCACTGTGCTAAGAAACTAAGCTTTCCCTGCTTCCAGCATGTTGGCATTACTTAGATAAAAAGAGGCCTCTGCACAGGATGGTTTTTGAATGAAAGTGGAGGCTAGAAACCCCTCATCTGTGTTTTGAGAATTCTAGATGTCAGCAGCTACCTTAGAAAGGGAAAAGGGAAAATCAAGGTAGGGCTAACATTGGCCCTGAAAAGTAGCCCCTGCAAGACGGAGCATGGCAGACAGTCCACTTGAGGGGCTTCTGAGATCGTGTTGCTGACCCATCATCTCTCCTGGGCTAATATAGAAGCTGTGGGAAGGCTGCAGTGCACACCAGTGGTTCCCTTCAGGGTCGTCACAGTTCTTCTGCCTACACAACAGGTGGCCCCTCACCTGGCCTCTTGAAGTGGGTATCTCTCTTGTTCTTCAAAGAGATTTTCCTACCTCACAGAACCTAATTCAGAAACTCCATCTTTTCTCCCCTATCTCCTTCTAAAGGTGCAGATCATTCCCTCCTGTGGGAGAGAGGGAAGAGAAGGGAAAAGCCCATTAATTTACCACAGGGATTCTCTCCCCTCCCTCATTCCCTATCTTTCAAGGGAAACTGAATTGCTGAAACATAGCTCATGCAATTAACGGACTGAGCAGTGCTTGTCTCAAGTTTTCTGGGACAGTGAAATGTTTAAGGGAACCTTAGTAGAAAGGGATGCAGGGGTAGGCAGCCCAAAGTTTCAAAGCCCCTCCCACCCCCAAATTCTTGGAATCAGAAAATCTAGTCTCCAAAGTAGGTCAGCACTTCAGTGAGCAGCTCCTCTGGAAGGGAAGGGAGCAGAGGCCTTGTCTTGATAGAGGGCGGATTCATCCAGGGCTGTCGGCGGCCTGCCGAGCCCCAGGGGCACAGGAGGGGAGGGGAGAGGAGGTGGGGAAGCTATACCAGCATTTGCCTGGGACCTGAAAGGGCTCAGGGCCACAGAGCCACACCAGCCTGAGATCAGACTGTGCTGGGCCCTCTCGCTGCTGAGAAGGAGGGGGCTGTCAGTCCCCAGATGTCAGGCGTAGATCTACAGAGCGACCTCCCTCCTGGAGGAGGAGGGAAAGGAGGGAATACGAGTGCCTGAGTTTGGTGGGGGAGGGGCTTTCTGCTGATCTGAGAGCCTTGAAGCTGCCCTGTGTCCTGGGCCCCAAGACCTCTGGGGCCTTGGCTTCCCCAGCTGGCGGAGGATTGGGCCTTCCCTGGGGGCCCCCCTTTCTCCCTCCCACCCTGAGGGCCCATCCATCTCTCTCTCTCTCTTGCACACACTCTTGCCTCTCTCAGGCATTTGTTGTGCAGTTCCTCTTTGTCTGCTGGGCACGAGGGCAACAGCATCTGCCTTCCCCTCCCTGTGCATACACACCCCCACCCCCGCTCCTTCACTGGCTTTGGTAAGGGATGCTGTAGCCTAGCATCCCCCCCCACCCTCCAAGAACCAGACACACATATACATTCTCTCCAGCCCCCTCCCCAAGCACATCCAAGGGTGCACTCGCTTGCGCGCGCTCCTCTCTCTCTCTCTCTCTCTCTCTCTCTCTCTGTATCTATCTCTATCTGTCTCTCTATATACATATATATACACACACATATATGTATATGTGTATATACATATATGTATCTCTCTCTCTCTCTCTCTCCCCTCTCTCTCACACACACACACACACACTCACTCACTCACTCACTCACTCACTCACACACATACACCCTGGGCTGAGCTCTTCTTGCTGGCTGCAGCCGTGGGCCCCTGCTCACCGTGCCGCTGCCGCTGCCTGCGAAATGACGGCGGTTCCCCTCACTTCCAGGAATCCACGCTTCCTGGAAGGTGAGTGGCTGGGCTCACCCCTGCCTGCCACCGAGACGCAGACATGCACACACCACCCGCACTCCCTCGCCGTTTCCAAGGCGGCGGCCGCATTCGCACCCCAGGGTCTCACCGGCAAGGGAAGGATAATGTAAGTTCAGGCAGAAGGTGGCTAGTGGAGGGGGGAAGGGGGGTGCTGGGGCTAGGGAGCCAATTCAGTAACAACTCCCGAGCCTGAGGAGAGAGAGGATGGGGGCTGTGTGTGTGTGTGTGTGTGTGTGTGTGTGTGTGGCGGGGGAGGGGGCGTTCCTCCTTACACTTGCGGAGGATGGGAAAGGGTGTTTGGTGTTGCTAAGCAAAGACTGCGACTTGGACAGTGGGAGCTTGTGGTGACATCTTGATTAGGCCTTGGGGACAGATGTAGAGCTGCCCAGAGTGAAATGCCGAGACAGGCCTGGGTGGGAATGGGTAATAGGGGGAATCAAGGTAAAGGGAACCCTTGGCAGCAGATGCTTTAGCCTGGAACAGAGATCTGAGGGGCCTCAACCTCCTCCCCACAATAGAGCTGGGGATGGGCGGCTTTCTTTGCTCCTGTACCCACTATTCCCTGCTAGCAGGCTAGCATCCTGCTACCCTGGAGTCCCTGGTCAAGAAAGAGAAAGCAGTTAGGATGAGGTCCTTTGCAGAGAAGTGTGGAGGTTCTCCGACCTCATGGCTATTCCCTAGAGGTAGCCACTCTGAGGGATCAAGGAAGGGCAGCAGGAGTAGAAGGCTAGTCTCCTTCAGCTCATGAATACACATTTAGCTTGTAGAATATTACCCTGGTTCCTGTCTCTCTCTTCTCTCCCTCCTGCTTTTCTGCCCTATACCCACCTCCTAGTTCCTCTGATGTGAATTTCATGATTTGGCTTTGCCCTCTGGGGGTTCAGCCAATCTATGATGACTTTGACCAAGAAAATGTCTCTGAGACCTGAGAGAAGCCTTAATTCTTGGCTCTGACAGTCTGGGATTTCTTGGGAGTCCCAGGCATTTGAAATTCCCTCACTGGGGTTTCTGAGGCTGAGAGAGGAACTGCTGGACTTCCTAAATCTGATTCTAGTCCTTTTCACCCTTTTACCAGAAATCAAAATCCCTAGAACCTCATAAAGATTTTCCAACCCCTGAAATGATTCATTTTTATGTATTAGTCCCGTAAAAGTAGACTTGAGCCTGTTTTTCCCTCTTACTTTTATCCTAGGGAGGGTCATGGCATCAAAGAACCTCTTGAACTACTGGTGTGACTCTGGAGGCACCTGCTCTTCCTTCTCTTCCCAGGCCTTAATAGGGAAAGCCACAAAGGATGTTTCCCCTTGTCCCTAGATATCCCTTTAAGGATATTTCCCCCCATATATCAAGCCCCTGGCCCCAAGAGGCAGCCTCAACCTGGTAGGCTGAGACCAGCAATGAATTTCCAGCAAGCTCCTTCATCCTTCTAGGGTCAAGGACTTGATGCCAGGGCCCAGAGTCCTGTGCTTCCCCCAATACTAACATCAAGTGATTTAGGGCAAGTCAGCACTATTTGAAAAGGAATGAACCCTTCTTAGAAACAGTACATGTAGTTGAAAGAATGTATTTTCAAACTGTGTCCGGGTCTATAAGTCTCAACCCACAACTCTGAGATACTCACTTCATTATATGTGTGTGGTTCTGATTTGGGGCAACTTTTGTAGATAACCATGGCTCATCTAAAGAGCCGCAGCTGGGGAAACTCAGTTTTAAGCCATAAGGCTTTTTCTATAGATAGTGAACGAATTTCCTCAGGCTTTGATGGGATAGAGTGGGGGAAGTGGGACTTTTAGGAGAGGATATGAATGGGAAATGGTCCCAAAGTCCTGAGTGGTTGTTTTCTTCCCACTGACCAAAGCTGGAGAGGGATCCCTCAGGAGGGTGTGTTCCGGATTTCTTGCCTCAGGCCCACGACTCCAACCATTTTATAATGGAATCTTTATTTTGTGAAAGTAAGTATGTATATAGCTGGAAAATTGGGTAAAGTACTAATAGGTGGACTTTAGGGATGAATTTTAGGGTTTGTGTATGTCTCTTTCATATTTAGGCCTGTGTGCTCACATCCATGCATGTTCATGTTAGCAGATAATATAGAAGGCTACGGGTATGTTTATCCCAGTAGGTATGTTTTCTTTATGTGCATCCACATATGTGATCTCTTTCTGTGTCTCTGTGTGTGTTTATCTACATGTGTTTTATTTCACCTATATATTTATGTAGAAGATTGTGGGGAGGAGGGACTTTTTTTAAAGACACGATTCATATCTTCAGGTGTGTTATTTGATTTTTAAAAACGTGAAATTTTCAAAAATTTTTACAAAGCAATTTGTCAACAAGTTAAAATGAATGTATTGAAAATAAACTAATTATTTCACTGTCAAGGTAGCATCAAGTAGTAAATATTTGGTTGGAATCATATCAGATAGGGGGCTTTTTAGAGTAGTCAAATTTTTGCTAATTTTAGAAAGTCTAATGGGCCCAACTCTACCCTACTGAAACAATGAGTCCCAGTCAGCTGTGTAGGTGGTTGTTAAGGACATGGGCTCTTACCGTTTGTGATCAGATCCCAGTTACACCACTACCAGCTATGTGACCTTGGACAAGTAGCATAGCCTCTTTTGTGCCTCAGTTTCCTCACCTGCAAAGTTAAGAGAATATTGGCACCTACTTCATAGAGTTGTCGTGACGATTAAATAAAATAGTTCATTCAAGGTGCATAGATCAATGCCTGGCACGTAATAAGCACTCCATGCTAGCTGCCATTATTATGACTGCCATTATTATCATTAGATTCCGAGACAGTTCCAGCTGCCCTTCCTGCAGATCCCGAACCTGGTGTCGGGGGCTCCGGAGAGGAACAGTAGGGAAGAACGTCTGTCCTGAGCCGCCTCCCTCCTGAGGCCCCCATTTTCCTCTCCACCCTGGCCCGCCCAGCCCCAGCCCTGCTTCCTGTGGACGTCAGGCAGTGATGCTCTTCCCCTCAGGCCTAGATAAAGGTAGGGTGGGCAAGACCCAGCCACTGAGTTCACGGAAGTCAGCTCCAGACACCCAGGCTGTCAAGGGCACAAGGTATGGTGCCCAGCATACAATACCGCTTTGTACATTGATACAAGATAAGTGTAACTGAATTTTGATAAGATTTGGCAATGGACAGTAAATGGCTCCAGCTGCAGCTTCACCTGCCCTCTTGTTCTCTCCTCCAAGGTAGCGGGGACTCATCTTTGGAGAAGGAGTTCCTCGGGGCCCCAGTGGGGCCCTCGGTGAGCACCCCCAACAGCCAGCACTCTTCTCCCAGCCGCTCACTCAGTGGTAAGTGTACCCTCCTTCCCTCCCCTGGCACTAGGCACCCCCCATTTGTGTTTGTCCCTTGATTCATCTTCCACTGGCAGCCATTTCCCCATCGCTGCCTCCTCCTGATTTCTTGCTCGGAGTTTCTAAAAGTACTAAGGAGCTTAGTGTCCAGGCTTTTCCTGACTTCTGAAAGGAGAGTAAAGGATCACTGCCAGACTAGGATGAAATTTGAGAGGGGAAAAAAAAAAAAAAAAACCATGATGGGATTAAGGTAAAGGCCCCAAAGAGATAGTCTGGAGTTGGAGTAGCAGGTAGATAGAAATGGTCCTGAGCTGGAGTTAGATAGGAAATAGAGATGAGAAGGATCTCCTCATCACACCCTCCCATAATTATCCTGCCCAGACAGGGTCCCCATGACTGCCCCTCCTCAGCTGGCCCTAGATCTGTGACATTCTCTAAATGGTTGGAATAGCCAGGAATGTAGGTCAGAGCTAGAGCCAAAGCTTTCTTCTCCACGGTGGCTCCTCCCTCCTCCATTCCCCTTTCCAGATTTTTATGGAGGGGAGTAGAGGGGCTCAGTCTTATGGGGTGGAAGGATAATGTGAGCCATGTCTGTCTTCTAGTTTTGCTCTCTCTTTAGCCCTGTCTCTTCAGTCTTCCTAGGACCGTTTTCCTGCCAGTTACTGGCTGGCTTCCTGCCCAGGGCCAAGCCAGACATCTTTCTTAAAGACAAGAGAGTGGGGAAATAGGCTCCCCTTAGCCTCCTCCTCTCCCCAGTGATAGAAGACATCCTATGTACCCCAACTTTTTTCTCTTGAAGCCTATTTGCCTGGTCAGTGGGATAGGAGGAAAAGGTTATTTCAGGTCCCAGCAGGACCCTGATATCACTACTCAGGATGCCTAGAATGTTGGCCCCTTTTTGAAGCCTGAATGTCTCAGGACTTGGAGACCCCTTTTGGACTTCAGGAGTGCCATTCTGGCCTGGGGGCAGGCTCTCCCCTTTGCCTGTCTCTATCCTAAATACCATCCCGCCCTCCAGCCAACTCCATCAAGGTGGAGATGTACAGCGATGAGGAGTCGAGCAGACTGCTGGGGCCAGATGAGCGGCTCCTGGAAAAGGACGATAGTGTGATTGTGGAAGACTCATTGTCGGAGCCCCTGGGCTACTGTGATGGAAGTGGGCCAGAGCCTCACTCCCCGGGTGGCATCCGGCTGCCCAATGGCAAGCTCAAATGTGATGTCTGTGGCATGGTCTGCATTGGACCCAATGTGCTCATGGTGCACAAGCGCAGCCATACGGGTGAGTAAGCCAGGGGCTCAGGGAGGAGCTCCTGGTTTGGCTGGAGATGTGGAGGCAGTGCTAGGAGGCCATGCCTGGAGTAGGGCAGCCTCAAAAGGAAGGGTCTCTCCTGGCACATTTTCTAGCTGAGGAAAAAGGGTAGGGGGTATGGAATTTAGAGTTCCTGAACACCTGTACTTCCCTGCCACTTTCCTCAGCTTTTGTTAAAAAGAAGAGCTGATGCTTTTCTCATGAAGTGAGAGAGGGGAAAAAGTGTTGTAGCCTCAAGAAAGATCTTATAGTCCAATGAGGGTAGGACTCCTGGGTATTGTTTGGGCCCTCCCAGCTCATGATAAAGAAAAAAAATGGAAAACAGAAGCCTCTTCTCAGCTTCCTTGGGCTTTGGGCTCCTGGGGCAGAGGGAGCCCTTTGGGGCTTGGCTTTTGGTAACGGCCTCTGCCCTTCTCCCTGCCACAATCCGCTAATCCACACCTTCCCAAGGTAAGACAGTTCCCAAGGGATCTTTATTAAGCAGGATTTGTGTGAGTAGCACAGCCCCACCTCTCAGAAATGCGTTCTGAGCACCTTCCCTCAGGCACTGTGGGGTGGAGGGTGGGGAACTACGTTCAGCCTTCAAAGTTCCTCACACCCAGTCCCCTGGAATCTGTTCTTTCACTTACAGGTGAAAGGCCCTTCCACTGCAACCAGTGTGGTGCCTCCTTCACTCAGAAGGGGAACCTGCTGCGCCACATCAAGCTGCACTCTGGGGAGAAGCCCTTCAAATGTCCCTTCTGCAACTACGCCTGCCGCCGGCGTGATGCACTCACTGGCCACCTCCGAACACACTCGGGTCAGTAACCTTTCCAGTGGGAGAAGAGGGGATGAGACCAGTACACCCAGTAAATAGAGTTCAGCAATTTTTCTCATATCTGGGGAGTTACAGTGTCTGTCACTGAGGAAGGCAGAGCACCCCCGGGGCAGATAAGGTCCTGCCTCTCTAACCCCTCCTCTGGGCAGCAGGCCCATGGGGAATTTGGAGGACTCTGTGAGGAGGTATTTTACATCTGCCACAGTCTGTGACATGGACCAAGAGGAGTATGAGTGACGTTCTCGGCTCTTAACAGTCACCTTCCCTGTTTTTAAAGTTCATGCTGATGGCAGAACCATCTGTGCCCCATCACTCCCCACTTCTGAGCACAGCACCAGGGAAACCCCTCCTTTCATGATGGGATTAAGGTAAAGGCCCCAAAGAGATAGTCTGGAGTTGGAGTAGCAGGTAGATAGAAATGGTCCTGAGCTGGAGTTAGATAGGAAATAGAGATGAGAAGGATCTCCTCATCACACCCTCCCATAATTATCCTGCCCAGACAGGGTCCCCATGACTGCCCCTCCTCAGCTGGCCCTAGATCTGTGACATTCTCTAAATGGTTGGAATAGCCAGGAATGTAGGTCAGAGCTAGAGCCAAAGCTTTCTTCTCCACGGTGGCTCCTCCCTCCTCCATTCCCCTTTCCAGATTTTTATGGAGGGGAGTAGAGGGGCTCAGTCTTATGGGGTGGAAGGATAACGTGAGCTATGTCTGTCTTCTAGTTTTGCTCTCTCTTTAGCCCTGTCTCTTCAGTCTTCCTAGGACCGTTTTCCTGCCAGTTACTGGCTGGCTTCCTGCCCAGGGCCAAGCCAGACATCTTTCTTAAAGACAAGAGAGTGGGGAAATAGGCTCCCCTTAGCCTCCTCCTCTCCCCAGTGATAGAAGACATCCTATGTACCCCAACTTTTTTCTCTTGAAGCCTATTTGCCTGGTCAGTGGGATAGGAGGAAAAGGTTATTTCAGGTCCCAGCAGGACCCTGATATCACCACTCAGGATGCCTAGAATGTTGGCCCCTTTTTGAAGCCTGAATGTCTCAGGACTTGGAGACCCCTTTTGGACTTCAGGAGTGCCATTCTGGCCTGGGGGCAGGCTCTCCCCTTTGCCTGTCTCTATCCTAAATACCATCCCGCCCTCCAGCCAACTCCATCAAGGTGGAGATGTACAGCGATGAGGAGTCGAGCAGACTGCTGGGGCCAGATGAGCGGCTCCTGGAAAAGGACGATAGTGTGATTGTGGAAGACTCATTGTCGGAGCCCCTGGGCTACTGTGATGGAAGTGGGCCAGAGCCTCACTCCCCGGGTGGCATCCGGCTGCCCAATGGCAAGCTCAAATGTGATGTCTGTGGCATGGTCTGCATTGGACCCAATGTGCTCATGGTGCACAAGCGCAGCCATACGGGTGAGTAAGCCAGGGGCTCAGGGAGGAGCTCCTGGTTTGGCTGGAGATGTGGAGGCAGTGCTAGGAGGCCATGCCTGGAGTAGGGCAGCCTCAAAAGGAAGGGTCTCTCCTGGCACATTTTCTAGCTGAGGAAAAAGGGTAGGGGGTATGGAATTTAGAGTTCCTGAACACCTGTACTTCCCTGCCACTTTCCTCAGCTTTTGTTAAAAAGAAGAGCTGATGCTTTTCTCATGAAGTGAGAGAGGGGAAAAAGTGTTGTAGCCTCAAGAAAGATCTTATAGTCCAATGAGGGTAGGACTCCTGGGTATTGTTTGGGCCCTCCCAGCTCATGATAAAGAAAAAAAATGGAAAACAGAAGCCTCTTCTCAGCTTCCTTGGGCTTTGGGCTCCTGGGGCAGAGGGAGCCCTTTGGGGCTTGGCTTTTGGTAACGGCCTCTGCCCTTCTCCCTGCCACAATCCGCTAATCCACACCTTCCCAAGGTAAGACAGTTCCCAAGGGATCTTTATTAAGCAGGATTTGTGTGAGTAGCACAGCCCCACCTCTCAGAAATGCGTTCTGAGCACCTTCCCTCAGGCACTGTGGGGTGGAGGGTGGGGAACTACGTTCAGCCTTCAAAGTTCCTCACACCCAGTCCCCTGGAATCTGTTCTTTCACTTACAGGTGAAAGGCCCTTCCACTGCAACCAGTGTGGTGCCTCCTTCACTCAGAAGGGGAACCTGCTGCGCCACATCAAGCTGCACTCTGGGGAGAAGCCCTTCAAATGTCCCTTCTGCAACTACGCCTGCCGCCGGCGTGATGCACTCACTGGCCACCTCCGAACACACTCGGGTCAGTAACCTTTCCAGTGGGAGAAGAGGGGATGAGACCAGTACACCCAGTAAATAGAGTTCAGCAATTTTTCTCATATCTGGGGAGTTACAGTGTCTGTCACTGAGGAAGGCAGAGCACCCCCGGGGCAGATAAGGTCCTGCCTCTCTAACCCCTCCTCTGGGCAGCAGGCCCATGGGGAATTTGGAGGACTCTGTGAGGAGGTATTTTACATCTGCCACAGTCTGTGACATGGACCAAGAGGAGTATGAGTGACGTTCTCGGCTCTTAACAGTCACCTTCCCTGTTTTTAAAGTTCATGCTGATGGCAGAACCATCTGTGCCCCATCACTCCCCACTTCTGAGCACAGCACCAGGGAAACCCCTCCTTTCACTCCCATCTGCCCTAGGCCCCACACCTGTGTTCGCTTGCCCCTGGCAACATCAGAGGTCTGTCCTCTCCTTTACTTTTTACTGGTACCTGAAAATATCCAAGGGCCTCCCAAACTGGAAGAAAGGAAGCCTAAGTAAAGATTATCCCATTTCTGTTCCCCATCCCAAGACGCTTTCTCCTTATCCTTACCAGTGGGGAGAGCGAGGGCCTGGAGGTCAGTGTTTGGAATAGTGCCGGGGAACTGGACTAACCCAATTTTCTAGCCCAGCCAAGACTGAATCAATATCTGCTTGAATGAGCTGGACAGATAGCACTTTTGAAGCATTTTACGAAGTTTTAAGCTTTTGGCTTGGATTTGGGAAGAGGCCAAGAGCTGAAGTGGCAAGAAGGAGGGAGCTCAAGATTGGGAGAAGGCAGGAAGAAGGGCAGGGGGGAAAGAATTAGTGGGGTCTGTCCTTGGAAACTTTCCTTGCTATTTTTCTCTTTTCCTAAACTCTCCTGGGCCAGGATTAAAAGGGACAGAGCAATCACCTCACTACCCTCTACTTTTTTCAGCCACCTACCTTGTTCTAGGTTCTCTCACCGTGGAGCCGGGACCTCTTTATCTCTATGTATGTGGAGAAATGGGGAGAAAGATCATCGTTGATTCATGCTTTATAATCTATAAAGCATTTCGCTTGTGTCTCATGTGACTCTCATAACAATTCCAAGGTAGATGTTATTATCCCCATTTTGCTGACAAGGAAACTGAAGCTCTGGAAAAAGTAAAAAAGATTTGCGGGTCACAGAGCTATTCTGCAGCTTCGCTGGAACCCCATCAAGGTCCAGTACCAGAGATTCCTGCTCCTTTCCCTCAGAAAAGGGGTGGCTCCCCCTGCTGGTTTGGAACAAGGAGGGCTTGGCCCCTAGAATTCTTAACAACAGGGAGGCCAGTGGGAGGAGGATTTTGGATGTTCTACAGGAGATTATTAAGGACAGAAGAAGACACAGTTATACTGTTGGGTCCCATTTTTGTGAGATGCTTTCTATTACAACCCACACTGTAAGAAGAAAGGGGTCCCTCTCTAGATGTTAAACCATTTCCCCAAGTCTTGGGTGGATGGGGACCATGGCTTTCATTGTATCCCCCAAATACTTGGGTTTACAAAGCAAGAGCAAAATGGCAGTAGATTGATTAAATCAAGGTTCAGTTTAGGTGGGGCTGGGGGTGGGGGGCATGGACCAGTACAGGGGGCCAGTTGTATGGGGAGGTGCTCCTGGAGATACCTTGCTCAGTAGTTGCAAGATACATAAAATAAAATATACAATACCTTGTTTCTCTCACTTTTTTCTCTCCTTTCACAAATATCTCAAAAGTTGTCTTTAAAGGAAGTGTCGATCTCAGTTTTCCCAACGTTTTTTTCTTTAGTTGAAGCAAAATCTTTATAACTTGTTCTTTTTTTAAAAAAAGACCCGCAAAGTTGTTCTTTTTCTTTTACTCTTCTCCTTTGTTTTCCTCTCTGTTCTTTTACTCTTTTTCTCTTCTCAGAATTTCTCTATCAGTGATGATTTCTCTGGGGCTCTCTTGGTATCTCAGTGTAGAGAGACAGAAAGAAAAATAAGCAGTAAAACCAGGCTAAGAGTGGAGGTAAAAAAGTACAAGTAAAGGTCAGTGAAAACTGCCCCTCCCCACGTCGGCAGATCTGAGGGCTCTCATTTATGTCACCCCAGCCCACCACTTTCCCCCAAACCAAAGCAGATAGTTCGTAAGCAAAAAAATCCCCTTGTCTGATAAACAGCACTGACACCCACCTGCCACATGGAAAGGTTAAACCACAGTCTGGGCCCCAGACTCTGAGATCCTGGGGTGGGGCCAGCCTGCCTGCCAGGGATGATCCCCTACAAAGTCCCTGGGTCCTTCTTTCCTTTGAACAGCAATGGCCACCTTGAGGTCCACTAGCAGTCCATTGCTGTATGCCCTGGGTTGCCTCTCTCCTCCCATAGCTGCGCATTGTCTCTCTTCTCCAAGTTTGGTCTTCAGGCCATGCTTACAGCTAAAGTTGGGGAAGGGAAGACAAATAGAAGAATTCAACTGAGCAAGATCCCTTCCTCCTAATGCTAATGTACCTCTCCTCCTGGTTGATTTTGTAGAGTCAGGGCACAGAGAGAAGTAACTTTGATGGTATTTCTCTCCTCTCTCCTCCAGTCTCCTCTCCCACGGTGGGCAAGCCCTACAAATGTAACTACTGCGGCCGGAGCTACAAACAGCAGAGCACCCTGGAGGAGCACAAGGAGCGGTGCCACAACTACCTGCAGAGTCTCAGCACTGAAGCCCAAGCTCTGGCTGGCCAACCAGGTGGGCTATAGGCAGGATTATGGGGGAGTTGAGGGCAGGGCCAGAGGGAGTGCAGGACAAGGGTAATTCCAGCTGCATAAAGGGATGAGGTCCGTGGAAAAGGGACAGTTACCTCAGTAAATCTGCCAAGCACCCCAGTTAGTGCAGAGCCCCCTGGTAGGTGCTACATATAGGGAGACCCAGAGGTAGGGGAGTATTTGATCTATGTCCTCAGTCTAATGGGAGAGAGGGAACACAAAGAAGTATAAAATCAAAGGTCAAGTGTATATAATTGACCCCAATTATCTGACATGTTGCTGGGATGAGCCCTAGATGGGGTGAAGTAAGCAGAACCTAATTTCCCAGGCATTGGGTGTGATCTTCCTTGGCTACTGACCTGCTGGTTTTTCCCAGGTGAAGGCTGCTGGGCCAGTGCTAACCCCACTCAGCTGCTACTACCTGTCCCCACCTCCCTCCCACTAGGTGATGAGATACGTGACCTGGAGATGGTGCCAGACTCTATGCTGCACTCATCCTCTGAGAGGCCAACTTTCATTGATCGTCTGGCCAACAGCCTCACCAAACGCAAGCGTTCCACACCCCAGAAGTTTGTAGGTAAGAGTCCAGTTGGAGAGGAGACATCAACTTTAAGCCATAGCTCATCTAAATCTGAGCTCTGGTAGCCATTAGACTAGTTAGGTCTGGAGATTTGATTGAAGGAAAGAAAGCAGTCTGGTGGTCTCTGGTGCTCAGCCTCTGTACTCAGAACAGGAGCGGAGTGAAGAGGGAGAATTTACCTCAAGAGGATGGAGAAGGGTCAGCGTTGAGGGCTCTTGTGGTAGTTCTGTGAGGAAGGGGTCAGGGGACTCTAGCTCTCCCAGTTTTTAAGAATACCAAGGACTTCAGTGTATGGCTGCTGAGAGAAGGGCCTCAGAATCAGAGGGAGGAGATGAGTATAGGGCCTCCCACCTGGCCCTGGTCATCAGCTCCCTAAGGACCTGAAACTTCATAGAGAGTAAAGAAAGAGGTATTAAAGACCAGTGGGCTGGGACTGAGTCCTTCTCACAATTACAGCCTAGAGTCAGGTGTGGCCCCAAAAGGTACCTGACCTCGACAGCCATCCCCATGGGTGAGAAAACAAATAATCCTGGGGAGCTCGGGAGTTCTCTAAACCTAGCCCTGCTGAGAGCTTCTTCTCCACAGGTGAGAAGCAGATGCGCTTCAGCCTCTCAGACCTCCCCTATGATGTGAACTCGGGTGGCTATGAGAAGGACGTGGAGCTGGTGGCACATCATGGCCTGGATCCTGGCTTTGGAGGTTCTCTGGCCTTTGTTGGGGCAGAACATCTGCGTCCCCTCCGCCTTCCACCTACCAATTGCATCTCAGAACTCACTCCTGTCATCAGCTCTGTCTACACCCAGATGCAGCCCATTCCCGGTCGACTGGAGCTTCCAGGGTCCCGAGAAGCAGGTGAGGGACCCGAGGACCTGGCTGATGGAGGTCCTCTCCTCTACCGGGCCCGAGGCCCCCTTACTGACCCTGGGGCTTCCCCTAGCAATGGCTGCCAGGACTCCACAGATACAGAAAGCAACCACGAAGATCGGGTTGGGGGAGTGGTAGCCCTCCCTCAGGGTCCCCCACCCCAGCCACCTCCCACCATTGTGGTGGGTCGGCCCAGTCCTGCCTACACCAAAGAGGACCCCAAGCCACAGGAGGGGTTACTACGGGGCACCCCAGGCCCCTCCAAGGAAGTGCTTCGGGTGGTGGGCGAGAGCGGTGAGCCTGTGAAGGCCTTCAAGTGTGAGCACTGCCGCATCCTCTTTCTGGACCATGTCATGTTCACTATTCACATGGGCTGCCATGGCTTCAGAGACCCGTTCGAGTGCAACATCTGTGGTTACCACAGCCAGGACCGGTACGAATTCTCCTCCCACATTGTCCGGGGGGAGCACAAGGTGGGCTAGTGACCCCCTGCCCTCCCCTCAGTCTGCCACTCCACTGCCCCACCTATAGAAGTCCAGCTCTGTCCCCACCTTATCCCAAGGAGTTTTGCTGTGTAGCCCCCACCACTGGCTACCTGACTTTACATTTGACCCTGACCCTTCCTCACCTGTACTCCCCTACTCTGACTGATTTAAGCATTGTGATGAAATAAGTCTTTTGCTTATATTTCTCCTTTTTTTATATTTCTCATCTCAGCATACTGAGTTATTTATTGAATAGTTGATTTTTCTTTTGCTTTTTTTTTTTAACTTACATCAGTCACTTGCACTCCCCCGCCCTCCTTCCCACAGTCCCTTTCCACTTTAGACCTAATTTTTCTCTCTTTGATCTGGCTTTCTCCAACAGCGCCGGGGGGTGGGAAGCTCCTCTTATTTATAAGGGACCTTGAGCTTCTTGCTCTAAGTCCTCACTTTTTGCATTATGTGATTCTTCAGTTTTGATGCTGATAGCTCCCTCTGGCACCACCTTAGCTCTGTGGCATTATGTCTTCTCTCCGGGACCCTTCAACCTGGTACTCCATACCTCTTGTGCCCTCTCACTTTAGGCAGCTTGCACTATTCTTGAACAAATGAAGAATTCTCTCATTTGGAATTAGGAGGGGCTGAAGAAATTCTCCCCAGTCACCGTGAGACTGAGGGTCCTCCTGACATCCCCCTGGTTATATGAGTTCCCCAAAGCTCACATTCAGGATCTCCCTCTAGGATGTGATATATCTCTTCCCGCTCCTCGAACAACCCTTGCCACTGCTCTCTACTCTCTTCAAACTGCCAGTCTACTCAGTGGTAGCTTTTCTCTCCGTGGAGTGCCCCAATTTTATATTCTCAGGGGCCAAGGCTAGGTCTGCAGTCCTCTGTCTCTGACACGTTGGGAGCCACAGGTGCCTAACTGGGAACCAGGGCATGGGAAGGGGGTGGGTCAAAATTCTTCTCATACTCTTCCATCTTTCAAACTTCTTCACTCTAGTGACCTTCCTAGGCTCTCAGGGGCTCCTGCAGTCCCCATCCTATGAGAAACTAGTGCTTTGCTGTCTGGTGATAAGGGGGTATACAACCCCTCAGTCATGCTGCCTTCTTCTCCCCCCCAGCAGGATTCACCCTCTCATTCTCGGGCTCCTGGGCCCTGTTCTTAGGATCAGTGGCAGAGAGAAAAGGGTGTCTCTTTTCTCTCTAAATTTCAGTATAACCAAAAATTATCCCAGGACGAGCAAAGGCATGTGCCCCTTACCCCATTCCACTCTTGTCCCAGCAAGAATAGGATGGGCACAACTGAAAGGGGGTCATCCGTTACTGCCCTCTTCTATACTCAGCTCCCAGATGTAGGGCAGGAGGGGGCACTCTCCTGGCTCCTGCAGAGATCCCTGGCTATTTGGGTAACCTAGTTAGTGAGAAGGGGGCAGGAGGAGATACACTCCACTGCAAGTGGAGGTCTCTTTCTACGAGAATTCCCTGCCCAAGGCCACAGCCATCCCATTCTCTGCTTCCTTGAGATTCAAACCAAAGGCTGTTTTTCTATAGTAAAAAAAAAAAAAAAAAAAAAAAAAGAAAAAGAAACTAAAAAACCAAACACAACACCTCACAAGTTGCAACACTTGGTCCTTCTCTCTCTCTCCTTATCCCTTCCATCCTTCTTTCCACATGTCCTTTCCTTATTGGCTCTTTTGCCTCCTACTTTTCTCACTCCCTATCAGGGATAATTTAGGGGGATGGTAAAGGGTTGGCTAAGGAACAGACCCTGGGATTGGGGCTTTTAAGGGCTCTAAGAAGAGTCTACCTTGCCCTCTTATGGGAAGGGAGACCCTAAAAAC